GTGATTTCTGGAAACACACTTGGTTGGCACAGCTAAGGGAGGGAGGGAGGCTACTGGTCTCTTGTGGGTAGAGGTCAGGGGTGCTGCTAAACATCCCATAATGCTCAGGAGAGTCCCCACAACAAAGACCAGTCCTGCCCAGAATGTCAAGCTTGCCGAGGGTGAGACACTTTGATTTACAGCCACAGTGAACATTTCATTCCATCGTCTGGATGTCGCCAGAAATGATACATGGCTGGAGGCCTGGCTTTTTATTCTGGGTATCGCCAGCTTCGCACAGAACCAAAACCATGCATAAATCAATTCTCCTATTTGCTCTCTGGCTTCTTCCTATTGTAATTTTCTCCTTCCCACTTTAATTATTCTGTTACTGGAGAGAAGGTGAAAAAAAATCAAGTAGGCTAGAGAGTCGCTAAAATTTTTTCTTCTTCAGTTAAAAAGAAATAAATTGGAAGTAACTCACGGAAAGCAAAGAACCAATGAGAAAGAAGACATGAGGTTCATCAAACAGTTAATCATCCTGGAAGAGGAGCCGAGAAAAGTCTCCTGATGAGAGCTGCCCAGTTACAGGAGAGTCACCCCACTGAGAGGAGCTGGAGGTGGGTGCGGAGTAGGCTTGGGAGGTGGAGAGCCTGGAGGAGCAGGTCTGAGCTGGGCTAGCGCAGAGCTTTCCAAAGGACAGGTCAAGCCACCTTAGCGGGGACTGAATCTATTCTGTGAGTCTCAACTAGCGTCTAAAAACGTGAAACAATAGAACTAAGTGGAAACTATCAAAGGGTACTGCCTGTAATGAAAGTCGATATTGTTTTGTAAAATTTTAGCTCCATGTATTGTGTATGGGTGTGTGCGCATGTATGTATGTGTGTGTGCATGCCAGGTCTTGTTGTAAAATATATTTCTTATGATGAGATTTGGCCAAAACAACATGGAAAACACTGGACTGGATGAAATGGTGGAGGATTTGGAGACAACAAAGTATCTGCAAGCAATTTTGCAAGTAAAAGCAAGGAAGTGATTAACTGTGGGAAAACAAAAGATGCATAAGAAAGAAAATGTAACCACATCAGAAAAATGGGCTCTGCAGTGAATATTATCCACCTGGTCACATGACATCCATGATGATTATGATGCAATCATCGTGATTTGCCCTTAGAGGACGGTGGGAGGTGAGGTGGGGGAGGGGAGCTGACCCCTCATCAGGGGTGCAGACATTTGGAAGAGACCAACACAGCTTGAAAGCTCCGCGACTAACCCACTCTTAAAAACTCTGGAAGAAACTTGCAGACACAGCTGAAGGAATAGAATAGAGGTCTCTGGAAAGAGATGGGCAGGGAACAGATTCAGCGGTGTTTTATTTCGTGGTCATCATCTATTTATTTAAAAGAGAGACACACACACAGGGGAACAGGACCAGTGAGGACACGGTAGGGTCTCTGAAAAGAGTCTGGGGGCCCACGTGGCTTTTGGTTCCATCATTTACAGCTGTGTCTCCTCACACATGTCCCCTCCCAGCTTTCTGACTCCTGGCTACCTGTCTCTGAAACACAGGCGGGGCCAAATCATACGGCCCTCTCGTTCAGCCCTGTGTCTGCAGCTTGCTGTGAAGAGTCCAGGACGCCGAGCACGCCTCACCTGGTCTCTGGGTCAGGTAACGTGGACGCCATGAGCACGAGGCGCAGGGCAGGCGTCAGGAAACGTGTTGGGTTTGCCTCGGTGCTGGAGGAACCTCAGGCAGCCTCCACTCCCCAGGCTGAGTGGGGTTGCTCACCCCCACGCCCAGAGCAGTGTCAGGAGGAGGCCCTCCTCAAAGGCTTGTTCTCACCACCTGGGGGGTGCACGCCCTGGAGGAGGGGAGATGATCTCAGGGGCCCACAGCAGAGGCTGCTGGCTGTCCCCCGTATCCATCGCCTCCTTCCTGGAGTTTTAGAAGTTCCCGTGTTCAGCTGAGCACACGGCCACCCGGCTGGAGCTGAACCTCCTGGCGCAGCTCGCAGTGTCCTTTCCAGGGCACCCTCAGACGATGGGTGCTCCCCGCCTTCTCCCCTCCCCTCCTGCCTGATGGGACCTGCGCCCCTTAGACCAGGTGGACGACAAGAGCGTCCAAAGGTGAGGAAGCAGGGGGACAGAAGAAGGTCGAGGTCAACCCCACGCAGCTGCCCGCCCAGCTCTGGGCCCCACGCCGAGGCCGTGACCCCGTGAGAAACAGACTTCCGCCTCGCTGAAGCCGCCAGGAGGCTCAGCACCAGACGGGGAGCTGATCCACCAGTAGGTGAGGGAGTGGGCTTTTACTCTAATACTTACTCACTTTAACAGGATTTAGGGGGAAATTCCAGTTTGTCCTTCAAACCCTGATGATTCCGTTAAGATGGGGGATGCGGTTAAAGTAAGTGGCACCAGAATGAACGGATTTATTCAAGAAAGCTGGAAATTCATCTGACCTAAAGCTAAATATTAAATAAGACAATAGCAAGGGCGTTACAAGGCAGTGGCCATGCATTGGCCCCCGAGGGACCCAAACTTGGGAAACACTGTGCCCGTCAGCCCCTGACTTCTGCTCGGCGGCTCCATGGACGGCCTCTCCCTGGGATCCACGTCCACCTGGGAAAGGTGACGTGAGGGTCCTGGGAGCCTCAGGGTCACCGGGTGAGGGGTCAGGGCACAGACGCCCTCTCAGGACAGCACGAGTGAACCTACAGCCCAGGAAACGCCGAGGCCCCCACGGGCACCGTCTCAGCTCCTGACACCTCCGGGGGTGCGGGGGGTGCAGCACGAATCCCTGATGCCAGGCTGGCCCGGCTCCTGGACCAGCATCGCTGACCGTCCACCACGCTGGGAAGGCGCCGTTTCAGCGCCCGCTCTGCTGCGCTGCGGCCCAGCCTCCCGGGGCCCCGCTCGGACTGCTCCCTGGCCCTTGCCGCAGACGCTGCAGGGACGCCTTGTCCTGCACGCCCCCACCCCGCCGGTCCTCCATGCACTGCGTCCGCACAAAAGCACCATTGTCCCCTAGCGCCTGACTCAGGCACCCTGGCCTTTGGTTTCACAAATGCCCACCTCCTGCTTCGGATCAGAGGTCACTGCGCGCGTCCACTGCGTCTGGGGTGGCGGGTGTGCCCCAGCAGCCCCGGGAAGCCCGGGCCCCACGGAACCGAGAGGGCCCAGAAGTGGACCAGAGGCTCCGCAGTGGGGGACGGTGGGCATCTCAGAACAGCGGGGAGGGTGAACCGGTCCTTTTTACTCCCGACAGTCCCTCCCCCAGCCTCAGGGGACGCGGGGCCTTTACTGACCGGGTCCGACCCTCTCAGGGGGGCACAGGGAGGCTCCCCGGGGACAGAGGTCTCCACCCGCGCTCCGGCTGGAGCTCTGAAATCCCTTCAGGTACGTCCTCGAGTCCACAGGCGCAGAGGTATGGGTCGCATCGGGCTCCGCGTGACCTGGGCGGTCCCACACTCGTGTCCATCGCCTGTGCAGCGGGGGCAGCTGGAACCCGGGAACACTGCCCCGGGGGCCGGGCTGGATTTCTCTAAAGAGGCTGGTGATCCGGCAGCAACATGGGGTGAGCCGATGGTGAGGGAAGGGACGCGGGCCCTCAGGGGCCCTGGGGAAGCCCCCATGGGGCCCAGAGTGCTCTTCTGGGGGCAGAGGCACAGCCCGCCCGGCCTTCCCGCCCCTGGTGAAAGCCCCCGTCAAGGTCCCCGTCGGGCGAGGCCAGCAGGAGGAGAGCGGACTTCCAGGAGCCCGGGCCTCGCTCCTGGAGCCCCGGGCACGTCCACCCTGCTCCCGTCCGCCCTGCTCCTTGTCTCGGGGACAGGCTGCGGGCCGGTTTCCGTGGTTCCCTTGCATCACAGGAGCCCGGGCTCGGGGGCACACCTTCAACAGGAACCACGGAGCTCAGAGAAGGGAGGCGCCCCGAGACCCCGCCTGCGAGGACAGCACAGCGTGACCTCAGGGGATGCAATCAGCAGCCTCAGCTACACGAGCGCTGTTCTCCCAGGGACTGTGACGTTGTTTGGTAAAAGGGATCATTAGATGTGCGCAAACATCCCACGTGCTGTGGAAGGGCCTCGGGCTCTGACAAATGATAAATGAGAAAATTAGAGACTTCAGGAAAATGCAAATATCATCCTTTGTAAATCTGTCCCTCGGCAGGAAAAAAAGCTGCTTCCCCAAAGTGCTGAGGCCCCCTTCTATTCTTTTTCCACCAGGAAAGTGCCAGGGACTGTTTCACATACTTGGACACATCTGGGTTTGTCTTCCGCGTTCCTATCAGGGTCTTGGCAAAATGTGGGAGGAAAAGGCTGCAGTTTCCACTGATTTTCCTCTAATTGAGTGTTTCTCAAACTCTATTTCACGATCACCCCCTGAGGAGCCATTTCAGACTTTTTTTTTTCTTAATTGCCCCTCATGAAAGTTTAATATCACAGAAATACCAGATGATGGTTTATGTTCTGTAGGTACATCTGTGTTTTTATATAAAGAGAGTAACATCTTTTCAAGCCCATGAACCAAGTTTGCCCCCCGAGGGCAGTATGGACCCACTGAGAATGCATAATTTCATTCATTCATTCATCCAAACACACAGCAAGTATGTGCCCAGAATCTACTCCGGGCACTGGGGATGCAGCCCTGAGCAGAGCAGGTGTCCCCGGTCCCCGAGGAGCTGACACTGTGGTCAGAATAGAGACAAGGACAGAACACAGGGGGAACATGAGGCTGGTTGATGCCATGGAGATGATGCAGAACAATAGGAGAGGGGGCACACGGCTGGGTTCCGGGTTGACCAGGTGGTCAGGGAAGGCTGGGCTCATCAGCTGACTTTTGAGCTGAAACAGGAAGGAGGGCAGGGAGCTGCATGGCCTTTGGGAGGACAGGGTGTTGCAGGCAGAGGGAACTGCTGGTTCCAGATCCTTCTCTGCTACAGCTCCAGACACATATCTGAGGACCCTCAATCCCTGAGGGTGTCCATAAGAGAATGTCAGTCCAGAGCTTATTTCCGCTGCTGTTCTCTGTTTATTTCGGCAATCGCCTCTCTCATAACTTCTCCTAAGACCAGGACACGTGGACGCATCTCTCTTGGTGACCATGAGGGGCCGACTCCAGATCTGGGTCCTGTCTGCTGTGGTCAGCGTGCAGCACCTGGGGGCAAAGAAGCCAGGAGCCAGGGAGAGGTTGCAGCTTTGCTGAGGTCTGTGCCTCATCCAGGTGAGAGCTCTCTCTCCCAAGGTCTCACCAGGTTGAAAATGCTCATCAAGATAACAGCAATCCTTTCAAGTCTGCATGGCTCCTACATATAGACTCTGTGTTGAATTTTTATGGGAAGACAACTGCAATTTAGGCCATTGTAAATGCCTTTTGGTTTCTGCTGAGCTGTTGACAGTAAGAACTTACGTGATAGATGTTCAGTATTGACCCTCCTTCCCAAGCCACTTGGACATTCCCTTACCTCTGAATCCAATCAGAACAGCTTAAGACAGGAGCAATTTTCATAGTCGAGTCCTTGGAGGAAGGGAAATCATCTTATAACCAATTTTTAATTAATTAATAAGACCATGATTCCAAACTGATTTTAAGGAAAAATTATAGAAAGATCATCCGTATAGTTACAGGATGGCATTGTTAAGACTGGGAGATTTGGAATCAAGGAGATGGGTATTCAAATCCTGGCTCCATCACATACCTGCCTTGTGACCCTGGTGAGGACACTTAGACAAGGATGTCACTTAGCTGACCATTCATTCACCTGAGAGGTCACTTACCTTCTCTGAGCTGGTTTCCCTCAGTTCAAAGATTGTCATGAAGGTTCAACATCCAAATCCAAGTGTGGCCTGCGGACCAGCAGCATCTTCCTCGCCTGGAAGCTAAAAATGCAGACTTTCAGGTCCCATCCATGTCCTACCGAGTCGAAATTTCTAACAGGATTCCGAGGTGGTTCGTGGGCACGTGAATATGAGAAGCAGTGTCTCCCGACAGTGAACTGGTGGCCAGGCGCTCAGCAAGGAGCCCGATGTGGTCTGGACATGGATGGAGTTTTGTCCCATTTTATACTCATTTCTCAGGTAACAAAACTGTTTCTCATGCTTGTGTTTTCCAGTCTTCATGATAGTTCACTTCACTATGGTGACGTGTTTGCAGAAGACAGAGTCTTCGCAGATGTAATCAAGGATTTTGATGTGAGATGACTCACTAGATTATCTGGGTGAGCCCTAAACGCCACCACAAATGCTCCTGTAACACAGAGGCAAAGAGAGCTAATGCGGACACCCGGAGGAGGTGGCCAGGTGAAGAGGGAGGCAGAGATGGGGGTGATGTGGCCCCAAGCCCGGGAATTTCCCCAGGCAGCCACCAGAGGCTGCAGAAAAACAAGAATAGATTCTCCGTGGCCCTGTGGATTTCAGACTTTCATCCTCCAAAACAATGAGAATAAATACCTGGTGTTTTAAGGTACCAACTTTGTGGTAATTTGTGGCCATCCTAGGAAACAGCTTCCATCAGAAGATAAAGCTGCCTTAACTTGGTCTGATAAACAGGTGAGGCAGGAAGTGAGTGCACAGGCCTCCGCTCCCTGCGAAGGGGAAAGGGCTTTGCTACTCAGCCCTGGGTGAGTTCCTTCATCCTGAAAGCATCTCAGGGAGCAGGTGGTGAGGAAGGCCACTGAGATAGAAAATAAGGCTTTTTGCAGGGCCATTGGGGATTTAACCACAAGGGAAATACAAACAGCCAAAGATCCAGAGGCCCTTCGGGCGTTCAGGACATGAGGTTTCATCTAAGACTGGCCTCTGTTTCATTCATTTGTTCATTATTTTCTGGGCAAATATCGTAATCCATGTCTCACCTGGGAAAGGCAGGCAGTTAATTCATGTGAGTTCACAGAACAGAGCTGATAGCAAATGAGGTGGTGATATTTGGGAGCAAACACCTACTTTGTTAGTTGAACAGTAATCCAGAAAATGTTCTTAAAACACTCACACACACATTCACCTTCTAAAGCAATTGCTGGAAGCTGGTTCCACTGGTCCCACACCCCAGGCTGAATTTATTTGAAACTGACCTCCCCTGCAAGCTTGCCCAGTGACAGCCACTTGTCCTTCCAGGGGGAGGGAATTCAGATGTGGTGACACGTGAGGCAGCAGACAGACAAATCCAGAAAGTGGGGCTCCCGGAGGCCGCTGATCCTGGAACTAGCAAGGCTGGAGCATGAAAAGTCAACGGAAGGGAGCCGTCATGTGAACCAAGAGACTTTACAGACTTAACCACATGCCGGGCAGCCCTTGTTTGAATCCTGATTCTGGGAAAGCAATGAGATAACAGCGTCTATGAGACTTGAACTTTAGAGGTGATAAGGATATTGTATCTATGTTAGAAAACACTCACAAAAGATCTGGGATTTGCTTTAAATACGCTGGCGGAAAGAAGGGAGTGAGATGGAAGGGGTGGGGCAGGGCCTGGTAATTGTTCAGTCTGGTGTTGGCAGTTGATCATATTTTGGTTGAAATACCCGTAATTGTCTAATTGTACTCAGTTTATTATGTGATCGCTGTTTACTTGGGGAAGAATTGCATGATATTGCAAAATGACCAAAATCCCCATTGTCATTTTGGCTCATCCCCACACTAACCCACCAGGAATGGGGCATTTCCTGACGGCCTGACCCTTGACTGTACATTCCCGCTGCTTCTGCAGACAGAACTCAAAACCTTCAGCCAAACCCCACACGCTGGGAAGGGATTTTATTTACCATCTGAGCTAGCAGCTTGCTCATTACAGAAGTCCACCGGCTGCTGGCGATTTTATGCAGAGCTCAGCACAACAGGCAGGGCCTGTCACCCCAGCTCTCAAGTGAAGATCTGGGGGTATTTTCAAGCAGAAATAATGGACCATTGCAGCTTTTTACAGAGAGATGATTTATCTCCGGGACGGCATCCAGACCGGAGCCACAGGAGGACAACCCCAGGCTCCCCGGCCAGCGGCCTGTCTGCAGAGGGGGGGCCGGCGAGGCTCTGCCCGCCGGAGACCGGAGTTGGGGTGACCTGTACCAGGCACGGAAACACACCCTCACGGAGAGCGCAGATGTGGGAAATTTCTGTTGCATTTGAACCACATGCTGGCGAACTGGGCGACTCAGAATCCAGGTGAAATGTTTGCAGGATCATGTGGTTTGGGTGCCTTCAATACTCTAGAGCAGGAATCCGTGTTTGCGAAGATGCGAACCACGTACCTTTGATTGGAAACAGCTGCACACAAATGCAAGCCTTTTTCTCCGGTTAATTGGACTGTGACAGACACTGACAGGTGCCCACCCAGGGCCCTTCTTTCTCGCTAACAGGACCCTGATGGTCACACACTCCCCCAGCCTTGTTCAGCCCCCCAGCCGCTGTCCCCTGTGACCCCCTTCTAGCCCCAAGGCAGAGGCAGGTGGCTGCAGGGAGAAATCTCTGTCAGTGGAGCTCTGAGGGGCAGGGATCTCAGGCGACTCTTTGATAAACTGAAGTTGCTGCCTCCTTGCAGGGATGAAATGAGCTGAGAGCCCAGAGACAATCCCTTCACCGAGGTGGCAACAGGAGAGACAGGATCGCCTCCACGACTCTCCTCAAACTGTGACGATCGGGTCCCAGCGAGACGGCGGGGTGGCTCCTCACAGCCTTTCCGTCCACAGAACAACCTCCACGGACGGCGCCCGCCACTTCTGCGGGTGCTGCTTCGCTGCGTTCTGGGGGCTCCCGTCCACACCAGGCCTTGGGGTGAGGTCCACGTTCTGATTCTCGAGCTCAGAGCTTCACAGGCACGAGGCCTCTCCCAGCCTGGCAGCAAGGGGTCCCTCGGGCTTCACGCGCCTCCTCTTTTTGTGGCCTCAACTTACTCCAGGCCCTGTAATTCACGGTCACCCAAAGATGGTATGTTTCCACGAGCTAAGGTCTGGCCCGCCCCCTGCACACGTCATGGCTGTTACATTTCCTACTGTTTGCTTGCGGCTTCTGTTATTCTCTGAAATTGTCTTGAGCGTTGATTTATTTACCTCTCTCGCTGCCGTCTGCTTCCCAGACAAGAACGCGAGCTCCCTGAAGTCGGGCTGCATCTGCCTCCTCCTCTCTCGCTTTCCTGGAGCCCGCGGGGCCCAGGAGGAGCTGAGGGAGTGAGGGATGACTCAGACCAGGGACTGAAGAGTGAACACACGAGGGAGGATGCTCAGACCTTTGTCAAAGCTGAAGTGTTTATTTCTCACTTCCTTCTCGCCTGGCACCTCCTTCCAACCTGATGTCTTGTTGGACTCGAAACCTAGTCTGTCTGGCCAGCGTTGTCCAAGAGCTCCGGGAGGATGGAGACATTGCATGTCCATGCTGTCCAATATGGTAACCGTTAGCCACATATGTGGATAAGGAGATGGCAACCCACTCCATTGTTCTTGCCTGGAGAATCCCAGGGACGGCGGAGCCTGGGGGGCTGCCATCTATGGGGTCACATAGAGTCGGACACGACTGAAGTGACTTAGTAGCAGCAGCCACATATGACTAAGGGCACTTGAAATGAGACCAGTGTGACTTGGAAGCTGAATTTTTAAATTTATTTAGCTTTGTTCATATGAACTTAAATAGCTACTGTGAAGGACAGCACAGGACTCCGTCCTCATGGTCATTCCTGGCTATGTTTTCCAGGCTCATCTCCTGCCTGCCTGCCTGGCCCATCTAGACTCCCAGTTCTCACCCTCTGTCTTCAGCCTGAGGGTCACCAACCTTCTCCCAGGTGGGCAGCTCATTTGCCTTTGGTTCGGGGGCCACAGAGACTGGCACCAGCTCCCAAGCTGATGAGACCCTCTGAGGCCATCTCAGTCTGGATGCAGATCAGAGGTTTCCCAAGAGTACAGGATACATGGGAACTTCCTTCTGCCAGCCTGGCCTTCCCTGCAAAAGACCCCCAAAGCTCTAGAAATCTCTGAGACTAAAAGGGGGGCTGAGGGGTGTCAACCAACACTCTTGATCACAAGGGACAGAACGCTGTGCAAACCAGCATGAGGTGAAATTAAAACTCACTGCAGGAGTGGCATGGCCCATCGCTACCAGGCTGCAGGCATGGCTGGATCCCTGGGCAAAATGATGTGATCAGGAAAATGGCTCTTCCGTCCTTCAGGTCCCTTCCTGCTGGGTCAGCTCCATCCTCAGTCACGAGGCATTTCTCACGAGATGGCAAAGAGGCCCCGCATTCCAGACTCCCAACCCACTGGCCCAGCAAGGACAGCAGAAAGAGAAGCCTCTTCCTGAATATTCCAGCTAAAGTCCAGGACTGACTCAGATCAGACAAGCTGGCCTGAGAGACCCCCCTCCTGATGGTAAACATCCCTCCTCCGCCTGTTGGTCGTTTCCTGCTCCCCTGCCCTTATCCCCTAGGACTGGTGTCATCATCCTAACCACAGAGGACAAAAGGGGAGTGAAGCCAGGAGAACGTTTCCACCCACAGGCCCCTCTGCTAACAGCCCATGCGTGCTTCTTGCCATGTGTTAGGAGAAAGACGGTCAGATCCTAACAGCTCTTGGGAGCCAGTGTGTTTACGTCCAAGCCAACCAGGGGACCCCCGGTCCACTTCTCAGCCTGGGTGAGAGTGAGAAGCAGGATCACTCACATTCCTGGGGCCTCTGAAGGCCAAATCCTGTGCTCTGGGCTTTACAGACAGTAATGGACTTCGAAGGTCAGAGTGGTCGAACACAGGCAACTTCACCCCGCACCCTTGACGTGACCGCACTTGCTTCTCTAAACCCCTCCCGTGTCCTCCCCTCCTGCCCCAGGCATTTACTGAGCTGCTGCCGGGCTGGGCTGGCCCTGGACGTGGTAGAGCGGCTGACAGACACAGCCCATCCTCCCCTCCCAGGGCTCGGAAGGAAGGAGGTAAGTGGCAGCTCCATGCCCAGGTGATCCAGACTCCCTTCACGGAGCCCACAGTCAACGCACAGAGACACCCTCTGCTGTGTGCATCTTATAAACCTCAGTGACTTAAGAGTAACACATAGGGACTTCCCAGGAGGTCCAGGGGTTAAGGCTGCCTTCCAATGCAGGACGTGCAGGTTCAATCCCTAAGATCCCACATGCCTCACAGCCAAAAAAATCACAAGACACAAGCAATGTCATAACAAATTCAATAAAGACTTTAAAAACGGTTCACATAAAATTTTTTTTAATAAATAAATGTAACCTGTAACTAACAGTGGTGGGGTGGGGCAAGGAGAAAGGATTGTGAGGAAAGACCAAGAAGAGCTAGGAGACACCAATTTCCCCACCAAGAGCAATGGGCAGATGGTCCTCAGGTCTAAGCTTAGTGGACGGGGAAAGAGGGCCTTCCATTTCCCAAGGTTGTAAAACTGGCCAACAGAAGAATTTAAAATAAAAATGCACTTAATATATCACAGGATGGTGAAAGAAGGGTGAGCTGCCACAGAGGAATGAAATTTTTCATTTTTCGTAGCAGAAGAGCCAATATATGTTATCCAGAGATGGCAAACCTAGAAGTCGTCATATGTATCATCTAGAATTGTGGCAATAACCGCCAGACAGACCCAAAACAGCAGAGGTTACAAGGGAATAAAAGCCCTACAAGAAAGGAAGAATTTCGCTTTTCCTTTACTATCACACTCTGCTGTGCAGTTTTTCATAGTCATTTATTTGCATGTTAGTTTTATAAGTGAACAAAACTAAAAGTAGTGCATGTTCTATGTAAATGCCAAGACTGGCCTACAAGTGTGTGAAGTGGGTAATTCCCATCTCCGGTGAGTCTAATACCCCTTCCCCCACCATCCCCACCCCGTATCAGCCCACCAAGAGCAATGTGATGTCTAGTGGGATAGATCAGGCAACAGAGAAACTCTGTGCTGTCCTCCATGTGCATTTAAGGAGTGACTGCTGTGTGCCCTGAACTGAGTCCAGTCCCCCCACCCCATGTCACCCCTTTCCACCTCGGTACCTGAAAGCTAGCAGCTCCCAGGCTCTGCCCATCTTGCTGTTCAACCTTCCTGGGCTGGTGCTTTTATGCCAGCCCCCAGATGGCCTAGCACTGGGTCTGCCTTCCAGCCAGTGGGGAGGGGAAGAGAAGGAAGGGGAAGATTCAGGGTGAAGGGCACAGACTAGAAATCAGACCCAGTGCTTCTCTCTAAGCCCATTGGCCAGAAGTCAGATGCTCGCCATCCCAACCTGAGGGGCTCTACTGGGCAGACCTGCGTCCAGGCAAGATCTGAATCCTTCGACCCCCCTGATGTAAAGAGTCAACTCATTACAAAAGACCCTGATGCTGGGAAAGATTGAAGACAGGAGGAGAAAGGGATGACAGAGGATGAGGTGGTTGGATGGCATCACCGACTCAATCAATAGACATGAGTTTGAGCAGACTCCAGGAGAGACTGAAGGACAGGGACGCCTGGTGTGCTGCAGTTCATGGGGTCGCAAGGAGTTGGACATGACTTGGCAACTGAACAACAAAAGCAACCCTATAAAAGGAGGGAGCAGGGACATCAAGGGGCAGAAGGCCTCCTGCTCAGAAGCCTTTGGCAAGATAGATGATCTCCCCACAGGACCACCCAGGCCTGGCCAAGTTCAAGGGAATTTAAAACAAACGTCCCACAGAGGGTCAAGCCCCTTCCCTGTCCATTTTCAGCTGGAGCCGCGCCTGTGCAGATGCCGTCTCTCCATCCAGGCTGGAACACACACAGCTCCACCACTGGCTGCTGTGTGACCACAGGAAGGTAACTGAGCCCCTCTGTGCCTCAGTTTCCTTATCTGTAGAACATAGAAGATAACAACCACAGCGGGGCATGCTTATGACTGAGTTCATTCATGTGAAACATTAGAACAGGCCGAACGTTGTTCAGGTCTGAGTGCTCGATCCTAGCGACACAGCCTTCCCTGGGCCAGTGGCAGAGACGCTGACGAGGGGGCTCCCTCCCCTTCAATTCCCTCCCAGTTCAGCCCATGTGAAATGAGGCTGTTGGAGCCTCCTGTTCTGTTTGGCTTGTATAGTTTCCAAATAAGACACAAAGGCAGAGCATATGCATAATGCATAATTATGACCCTTGGGTTTGTTTAACGTTATCCCTGCAGTCTCTCAAATATTCATGCAGTTAAAAAGCACCTTTGCGTTATAAGACTCTCTCCCAGGACAGTGACAGAATGACGGCCCACAGCAACGGAAGAGGATTTACCGAGTTATTCATTCGGTCCTGGCTGTGTATGCACGTCTCATCAGTGGGCACACCCGTAACACCACCACCAGACTCACTGGTCCCCTTGTGTGTTTAGACAACATGTCCTTTGCATCACAAAGAGGCCCAGTGATGTCAGAGGCGCCGGGATCACAGTGCAGGCACTGGGCCTGGTATCCAAGAGCCAGCAGCCTTGGCTGCTGCTAAGTCATCGTCCCCGCTGTGAGAACTGGTGGCCGTATTGGAGCCTCCAGCTGAAGGGAACTAAATTACATCTAGAATGACCCACATTGTGCCGCAGCCAATGACCCAGTTAACCTCTGCTTCATTTGCTGCTTCTCAGTGTCCTGGGAACGGGTGGTGTTTACTCGGGTCGGGACAAACCTTCATTACCCGGTGTTACCCGGCCAGCACGCTGGCTGTCCTGGGCCCAGCGCTTTAATAGAAACCGGCGATGGGCCAGGGCCCCAGGAAGCTGTGGAATAAGAATGAGTCCTTTTCTCTACCCTCTCTCCTCCGCCCTGATTTGCATGACTAAGCTTTCAGGCGTTTTCTTTTTCTTTAATGTATTTGTTTGTTGATTACTGATCTGTCTCCTATGGAGGAACAAATTATTTGCCCACCAGGCAGTGGCCTAACTTTGGCAGAAGCCTCAGCTGTGTCTGTGGCAAACTGGACCGAGCCTCACAGCCCCACTAGTCCTGGTCCAGGCCATCCCAGGGGGAGAATTTCCCGGGATGTAACCACCAGAATTACATTGGTCTCCAGCTGACTCCTGAAGGGGGATCTTGACAAAGGAAGGCTTGATAGATAAAGTGGGAAGAAAAGATCCTCTTTTATGGTTAAAAAACCATCTAGCTCAATTTAACAGAAAGCTCAAAAGTGTCTCTAAAGGAGGCTGCAACTTCCCCGAGGAAAGAGAAGACTTGCTAATTTGTTAAAATGTGGGACTCAATTCTATCAGAGCCAAGGTCACCTTTTTTAAACAAATATTTTATAATTTCCACTTCGGTATCTTGAAACGAAATTCATAGATAGTGTAACCTTACCTACATGTTTTTTAAAAATTCAATGCCCTAACTGTAATATAAAGAGAAATGTAAGAAAAAGCAATTTATACACAGTGATTTGCAATAAAACAATGCATATTTCAACATGCAAATGCTCTGGCACGACCACACTGGAACTGATGAAGCTGTAAAACAGACTGGTACCAAGCGTGTTGAGTGAGCCTCTCAAATGCCGTGAGACACGTCGGAGCGAGTGATGTGATGGTTCAAAGGGATGAACCACCACGGGCAAATATTGTGAACAAAACAAATACAAGCTTCCCTTGATTTACACCCTGGTGGGTGTCCCCGGAAACTCAGGGGATGTGAAAACAATGCCAAAAAAAGCATTATGATTGCTTCCATGTAAAATGGATTTCCTTTGAGGGCTCAGAGCATTGTAAATAGTCTATTCACATGACTGTCCAGAGGCACCTTCAAAACCGGTGCAAGAAGCAAAACAGCTCTGCAGGGCGTGGGCCTGGCCTGTGTATTGTGGTCTCCCGATGTCGCCACCCCCACCCACTGAACACCCATAGCTCACAGCCCCTCACGGTGCCACTCACGTCAACTCTTAGGGAGCGACACTCCTGTTTGGTAACCATGGCCCCACAGGTCAGCACACACATATCAGAGGCTGAAACCTATGTTGTCCCATCTGAAGTGCTCCCTGCGTGTGGCTTCCCCTGGCTGGCTGGCCACCCCGCCCAGAAGGAGTCAGGCAACCCAAGGCACCTAGCTGCCTCAGGCCTCCCGCCCCAACCCCAGCAAAGAGAAGCAAGGTCCTCAGACCCTGTCCCTTCAGAGGGAGCCACCTCCTCGGGTTTGAGGGTTCAAGAACAAGCTTCCCTCGCTATCTGCAGGGCATTTGTTCCAGGCCCCTTGGCAGAGACCAGAATTTCAGCTCAAGTTCTCTGCAGACCGTCCTCCGTATCCAAGGGTTCCATCCAGGGTGGGCCAAGAGAGGGGCCGGAAAAACCTCCCTCCCATAAATGCTGACTTGGGAAACCCCTCAACACCAACTGTGCCTGCCATGCGGGTCTTAAGGATCTCTACCAAGGGGCCTCTTTCTAATTATTTATTGGTTTATATGCGTGCTTATCTTTATTACCAAAACTTTATCATAATAACTGCACATGTCAAGATAAGCATGGCCAACCCAGCCACACCCTCACCGACATGGTGCATTCCCATGAACGGGGTCAGTTTTCAGAAGCAGACTGATTGTCCACAATTTTTTCCCAATATTCAGCCTTCTTTCCCAGTCTGCGCCCGTGTTCACCCACCACTCCCATCCTCTCCCTGCCCCACTCCCAGAGTGAACTGCCCTCTTCCCCAACCTCCTACACACGCCCACATTCACATCCAAATACACACACACTGCTGGGGGTTCTCTGGCCTCTTTTTGTAAGGATCTGGGGCGGTTCTCCTCAAAGTACAATTTCACTGCATAAATTACTCTACACTGTGCTTTCTCAGTCCTAATATATTGTGGCCCTTTCCTGGATTAACAGCTCAAAGTCCAACTCAACATGTTGAACCGGCTGTCCAACAGCCCATAGTGTGAATGTGCTACACTTTTAATTAGGTGGTTTTCAGTCTGTAGGGCTTCCCCAAAGGCTCAGCGGGTAAAGAATCCCCCTGCAATACAGGAGACACAGGCAACCTGGGTTCGATCCCTGGGTCTGCAAGATCCCCTGGAGGAGGGCATGGCAACCCACTCCAATATTTTTGCTTGGAAGTTTCCATGGATAGAGGAATCTGGCAGAGTACAGTCCAAAGGGTCGCAAAGAGTTGGACATGACTGAGACTAATCAAGCATGCTCACAGAGTCTGTGATCAACTGTAATCAATGATCAGGATTGTAATAAATATCTTAGAATACACAACCTTGTAGTGGGGAGCATTTGTTTCTATGGGCCACATTCCTAATCCGCTGGATGAAAGAATAGGCACGTGTTTAAGTCAGACTTGATGGAATGATGTGTTCTGCTGGGCGGCAGGACAGGGTAGGATTGATGGAGGAGGCATCTGAGGCAGTTTATGAAGGACAAAGAAGGTATGTGGCCTGGGGAGAGTGGTCCCTAAGGCAGGTGACAGAACTCCACTGTGCAGTAAGAGAAAGTCACAAAGAAAGAGTCTTCCGAACCAGTTCCATGGTGGAAACCACTTTTTTTGGAAAATGGAAGAGCCGGATTTTGGCTCATCATCTGCAATTAACTGTCCGGCGATCTTGGGTGCATCCTCTCCTGCTCTGGGCTCCAGTTTCCTCATCCAATGAAGCAGCTGGACCAGATGACCCTTTAGACATCTTCCCTGTGAACTCTCTATAATGAAATGAGGACCCTGTGTGTGATAGTTTTCTGGACTCCAAAGTAGTAGTGGTTACAATGGATTCTTCCTTGATGATGACCTACATCCATTGGGTTAAATCTGACGCTGCTCTTCCTTAGGCTGCCCCCACCTTCCCTCCTTCCTCCTCCCTCCCATCCTCTCTCCATTTCTTCCTTCTTTCCCACTACAAACACTTGTGGGATGCCTCCTATAAGTGAAGAAATGTCCAGGACGCTGGTGTGAAAAAACAGACGAAATTCTGCCATCATGAGCATCGAGACCATCCATCTCAGAGCTTTCTCTTGGTCTGTGGCCAAGAGTGTGGACAGTCGACGGTCCCGAGGACTCTCAGCCCGTGGTGCGTGGGAATCGGGAAATAAAGATCAGGACTCTGCCCAGCTGCCCCAGTGGGAAAGCCCCGGCTCCTCCCCTCTCCTATTGTGCTTCCTGGGACCAGCCCACACATGGACAACCCACACTAAAACCCCCGCCTAGGGGCTGGTCTGCTTCTGGGAAACCCCACTGAAGCCACATAGAAATCAAAATGGAAACCTAGGACAAGACGATAGCGAGTAAGCCAGGTGAGTGGGGAGCTGTCAGAGAGGACTGTCCCCAGGGCACGTGGAAGCTGCAGGGTGAAGATCTGGGGGAAGGGCGCTCCAAGCTGAGGGTCTGCAAGGGCGAAGACCCTGGGGCTGGGGCAAGATTAGCATTTTGGCCAGTTCTCCTGCAAAATGAATCTAGACAGGATAGATAACAATAATAATAATAATAGCATCCAGTGCACACAAAGCACTGACTGCAGGCCTGTCACTGGTCTAAGCTCTTCTGGTGCGTCCTCCTGACAGCCTCATGGAGGAAGTGCCATTATTGTCCCATTATCTGGAGGAGAAAACTGAGGCACAGAGAGGTTGAGGGCTGGGAAGGACTGAGCCCGGATTCCAGTCCAGGACAATCTGACTCCAGAGACCCTGCCTATAACTGCTGGACATACACACACAAGTGTGTGCACATACACACTGGAGCACACACACACGTGTGTGTATGTGAGGCATGTGCACACACATGTGTACACACAGAAGATGAGGGAATTAAATCCCAAGGGCTCAAGAGTTCTTCACCTGGTTACGTGGCTCTTTAAGCAGAACCAGAATTTAGTCCTAATGAGGTTATTGGGGAGCGACCCCATTTGGAGCAGAATAAAGCAAATAATCAAGCATTGACATGATAAATATCAGGCTTCTGTGATCCCCTCCTCTGTACTCATATGTGAGCATAAATCAAAGAACTGAAATCCCATCAGGCACCATCATCACAAAGCACGCTCACAGATCTTCTGGTGATGCTCTGAACAGGTTGGAGGTCAACGCTCTTCCCAGTGGTTTGCTTGCTCAGGGTCCTCATCTGTGAAATGGGGCCAAGAGCATCCTCCCCACCCAGGGCTGCTGTGAGAATTTAATGAGCTGACACCTGTGTGTGCCTAGAGCCGGGTCTGGCACAGAGTAGGTGCTCGACACCTGCCGGCTGATATAATTACTGCCCCAAGCCTGAGAGGGCCCCTCCTGACTCCCCCACTGCCCTCCCTGAAGGAGAATCACACTGGTCCCTGTTTCACAGCCTCCTGGCTCCAAGCACCCGATGAACCATCACAACCAGAGACTCGCCAGACTTTATCTCGCTGGTCTGGGCTGATGTGACCCAGTG